CATGATTTTGTTAATCAGTGTCACCCCAAAAATTCAATGAAAAGGAAAAATAACTTTCAATAAAAAACTTAGGTTAAAAACTGAAAGCTGCTCACATCTTCCCACCGGCAACAATACAATCCCTTAGAATAGTACATCATGGTCTTTAAAATTTGGTTCCTACTTACCATTCCAACCTCACTTTATGACAGTCCCCCTCTTGCCTTAACATAATCAAACTGAAGTACATTGCACGGGGTCATGCACATACTTCCCACACTTCTTCTACCTCTGGAATAAATAACTAGAGCTCCCAAAGTTGAAATAACTTTTTCTCCTTAAATCGTAAATACAATTTTTAAAAGTTCGCAAAAATCAAAGAAAAAAATTAGGCATAACATTACCATTTTAACATAATTTTGCATAATATTTAAAATTATTTATTCTTTCTCATGTTGCAGAGAAAAAAATATCAAAAATTGCAAAATGTTATTTTGAGAAAAAGAAAAAAATGAAAGAAGGAAAGAATAAAAAACAAGGGTGGGGACAAAACAGAGCTATGAAGAGGGTTTAAGATGCATACCATGATGACCTACTCATCTACCAGGAGTGAGCCACACATTTGGCTCTCAGTTTTCTAGTATCCAATGTAACAACAGAAACATTGTCAATTATCCAAGTCCCAGTGCCCTTGAGATTTAAAAAAAAAAAGCTCCAGTAATTTATACTCTTCTTAGAACACATCATAAAAAGATATTCCTACTGAGGCCCTCCTAAAGAGAACACAGGATAATACACTTAACTTTGGGAAGATTCCTTTTTAGAGACGGTGCATTTCAATTCATGTCATTGCTCATACTGAAAATCAATATAGGTGGATGTCAGTGCACAATTTACAGAGTGTTTTTGTAAAAACCATGTTTTTGGAAACCATTTGACACTATTAAGGCACCCAGCTCTTTGCAGGTCTGCTTTAAATCATGGATAATACTAATATATCGAAATACTAACATATAATACATGTTAGTTACAGTAATAGATGGATTTTTATCCTTTAGAAAAACTTTCTGAGTGTTATTTTCTTGAAGATTGAGTTTCAAAAAATTCTTAGGTGAAATCTTAAAACTTCAGGTCCCATATTGGGCAGTTGAGGCTTGCTTGGAAGACCAGATTTTAGGTGGAGAAGCAAAAATTCTCACTTTTTTATTATGAACATAGTTTCCCTTGGGAAAGTCCTCTGAGTACAGGAATGTGGCTGGGCCAGGAATGTCTCTCCCTAGCTCTGGGCTTTTCTGAAAGAAATGGGTGTGCCTTAGCACTTGATCATCCTGGTATGTCACCTCTATTGTGGATAGGAAGCCACTGTAGGACAGAACATGGAAGGACAGAATGGTTTCCTATAGGAAAAGGTGTCAGACAAGAGTGCATTTTTTGTCCCTATATGCAGAACAAGTCATATAAAAAACTGGGCTAGATTAAGAGGAAAGAGGAGAGAAAACTGGTAAAAGAAATATTAATAACTTAAGAGATGCAGATGATACCATCTTACTGGCAGAAAGTAGCAATAATTTGAAGTGACTTCTGATGAAAGTATAAGAAGAAATTGCCAAAGCAGGACTGCATTTGAACATCAAGATAAAGATGACTACAGAAGAAATATACACAACTTTTACATGGAAAATGGAAACAACAAAATTGTTAAAAGATTTTGCTCACCTTGGCTCAGCCATCAATTAAAATGGAGGCTGCAGCCAAGAAATCAAGAGAAGACTGAGATTCAAAAGGGCAGCAGTGGAAGAATTAGGAAAGATTATCAAGAGCAAAGATGTGTCATTGGAGACCAAGGCTAAGATTATCCACACCCTCATCTTCCCAATTACTATGTATGGATGCAAAAGTTTAACAGTGAAAAAGCTGATAGGGAAAAAATTTATTCATTTGAAATATGGTGTTAGAGAAGAGCTCTATGGATACCCTGGACTGGCAGAAAGATGAACAAGTAGGTCCTAGAGCACATTAAGCTTGAAACCATTAGAGTAAAAAATAACAAAACTACGGGCACTTTGAGAAAGAAGGGTTCTTTGGAAAAGATAACAATGCTGGAAAAAATAGAAGGTAGCAGGGAAAGAGACAAACCAAATGTGAGATGGATAACTCCATAAAAGAAGCCAAAGTCATGAGTCTACAGGAGCTGAACAGGGCTGTTGAGGACAGGACATTGTGGACATCACTCGTTCATATGGGCGCCAGGAGTTGAGCGGACTCAACTGGCATGTAACAGAGAAGAAACCCGGATACTAAAATCTTTGTTTTTATAGTCTCTTGGGTTTTTCAGATTTGCTAAAATAGAAGCAGTTTTTCTAGCTTTGCTTTTATTAATATTTGTATGGCTGTTGAGATATGAATTCTTGTCCCTAATGAATTCTGTCACTAATTAGATGGCTGACCTTAGGCAGACTACAGTTTCTGAGCTCAGTTTTCCTCCCCTGTAAAATGAAGATGTTGTAGTAGTTAATCGCCTTCCTAGGACTCCTTCCACTTATAAGTCACACTGACTCTCTGCTCACCAGCTGTAAGTAAAGAACCCCCTTGGTCAGGGAAGAGTGGTTGCTAATGTTTCTGGAACAGTGGACCTGGAGTACTCCAAGGCAGTCACACACCTTAGGTAAGATTATGGGCTTTGCAGGGTTAAAGTCCTGGTTCCACTCTGCAACTAGTATGTGGCTTGGGGCAAGTATTCACCTTTATGAAGCTCAGTTTCCCTATCTGTTAAGTGAAAATAATACAAGCCCTTACACAGTTGTATTAAATGAGACTCTGTAAATCCAGCTCTAAATACAGTGTCTGGCACAAAACAAGTACTCAATCAAAAAGCATCTATTTTTAGCATTGTTATTTCCTTGGGTCCATTGAAATAATTGCTCTTCTAACAGCATTTCTCCAAATTGGATATCAGCAGTATTATAATTACAGTATTTAAAGGTTTGAAGGTGCCAACTTGAGCTGACTTATTTAGAAAAATATTGGAAAGACATGGGCTCAGAGGATTTTTTAAAATAAGCAAAACAACCTGTGTGCTGACCTTTACCCTGTAGTTCTTTTATTTAATAACAGGGTATTAATAAACACAACTTTAAGCTGTTTGATTTGTATTAATGTAATCTAGGCCAAATATGCTACCTAAAAGCAATGATAAACTTTCTTGCTCCAAAGAAATTTTAATGGAGGTTTGCTTCACTTTTCTGCCTATTTTAAAACAGGATTGTGGGGAAGTTCTTAGTTTTGAGTTCCCATCAATAGATATTTAATCATTTAAACTTTTGATTATATGTAGGTTATATTTAAATACAACTAAATTTGATAAAATCATTCTTAGATGGGTGAGATAAGTACTGTATTTTATAATTTAAAAACAATTGCTTAATCAGAAAAGAAAATTCCCCCAAATGTGGGAAACCAGAGTTCTTTGCTGTGCTCTTAACTACAGCAGGAAATATGTGTTTGTTTATTGTGACCCTAGTGCTTCTACAGCCAAATTAACTTTCAAACACCAAGTTTTCATTCTATTTAACTAATTGTCACCCTGCCTTGTGGAAAATGATCCTTCTAAGGGACTTCAAGGAGAAAACATGCATAATTACATCTAGTAAAGCCTAGTGTGTCCCCACAGCTTGGAGGTAGACCTTCTGGGAACAGGGAACTATAAGGCCCCCTAAGGGGTGTATTAATTAGCCCATAGTAACTGGCCCGGTTAAAGGTGACTTTTAGGGACTATCAAATTTTATAGCAAGAGTTCTGAATTACCATTATATGTTTAAGAATGTCTCCTTGATTCTAGGTTTCTCCCCATTCCTGAGATGTGAACCTCAACTGATTTATAGCAGGTTGTAGAAGAGTGATCATTTGCATTTCTGCTGGAAAGTTCTCTGCAGGATAAAGGGTGAGTAATATGTTTTATAGATAGATAAATAAGAGTCTACGCTGATTCCTAATTTTTAAAGTTCCTTAGGAACTAGCTTATTTTCTGTTTCTGTAGCTCGATTTCTTTCCCTTTATTTTTATTTTTTAAACATATCTTTATTAATTTCAGAGGAAAGGAGAGAGAGAGAGAGAGAGATAGAAACATCAATGATGAGAGAATCATTGATCGGCTGCCTAGCCCGCAAACGGGGCATGTGCCCTGACTAGGAATCGAACCCCGATCTGGATCCTAGGTCAGCGCTCACTGCTGAGCCACACCTGGCTGGGCACTTTCCTTTTTTTTAAATCCTCACCAGAGGATATTTTTTCCATTGCATTTTCAAAGAGAGTGGAAGGGAGAGAGAGACAGATAGACATCAATGTGAGAGAGAGACATCAATTGGTTGCCTCCCCCACGTACCCCAACCGGGACCGGAGATCGAGCCTACGACCAAGGTACATGTCCTCAGACAGAATCAAACCCAGGACCCTTCAGTCCTTGGGAGGATGCTCCAATGACTGAGCCAAACCGGCTAAGGCTATAGCATTATTTCTTTTGATATTTTGTTTAACTCTCATGGAACTTTGCTTATTTTAAAAGCAATTTTAAAGGACTGCATACTGAACTTATAACAACTTTCTAAAAATTGCCTATAATTATTATTGTCAAAATTTAATCAGAAGAGATCATTAAGTGGATACATCTGATAGCTTCTGAATTAAAGAATAACAAAAGGGGAGCTTAAAGCTGATGCTGCCCTACAAGAGATCTACTGGTTTTGCTCACCAACACAGTGCTGGTTGAAATGGAGTGTCCCTGTTTCCTACCTGTTGAATCTTGCACTTTTTGTTTAGCAATAGTAAAAGAAATTGGTGGAGCTGAATGTAAAGAACAGCCAAAAATGGCTTAGCAGAATCCTATCTGAGTCTGGCAGAAACCCTGATCTCTCCCCACTTCGTCTACCTTCAAACTTGCCAAGCCTTGTTTGCTTCGGCTCTATTTTAAAAATGCATTTCTGGTGAGTGAGGAAAGGTTTTGTACTGTGTTTTCAATGACTCACCCAGAATAACTCCATTCAACTTGTACAGGGTCCTGCTCTGAATGCAGATTGTGTTTGTTCTGAGATGGGCATGCAGGAGCTGCAGAAGGGAGATTAGAGAAGGGAAATGCGATGGGAGAGGCCATGCAGTACAGGCACATATCAGAATTATTTTTCAAAAGACATTGTGTGTATGTTTTCAAGAACCATTTATAAGATCTGCACCATTTAAAGCTTTTAAAGATACATTAGTATTAGATAGGTACATAGCTCATCTGATCACTAACTCGTTTTTTTCTGACCCTCATAAAATGTAGAGGGAGATATTTACATGTAAATATATAATTCCAAAGATATGAATAGTGAAATGATTAAAAAATTTTAATAGTTCTAAATGGCTTCATATAAGAAGTAATCACATACATAAGAGCTAGAAATAATCTTAAATTAGGAAGAAAATGTCATCAATTAATTGATCACAAAATAGGGCAGTGTGAAAACTAGGAAATGCAACATTGACATCCTCCTGTTCAGTTGTGTACTACCAAAAAATGTTTATCACTTGATAGCAATATCTATACCTCCTTAAAAGCTTTTATGATTCAAAATGTCAGAGATCTTTAAGAGCAATATTTTAGGGCAGGACTAAAAAGAAAATGAATAAAGGACTGACCTAGCCTTGAGCATTAAGACTTCACAGCTGAATTAAAAGTATTTTGGCATTCCTAAGTGTAATTATGTCTAGTTATGAGGATTTCAAAACCTCTTTTGAGTTGTTTCATTAATTCATGGAACAGATCAAATAAAGCTTATTCTGTTATATAACCTTGCTCCATGCCATTGTTGATGAAGAATAGATGAGCCATTCTTACCTGTTGCTCAGAAACACCAGAAAATTCAGCCACTGAAAGGAAAACAGGCTTTCTACAAGGTTTTACCAACTGAGAGGGTAAATTTCACATTATGTGGCAAACCGAAGAAACTGTGATCTGGGAATGATGAAATAAGGGACAAAATTACAAGCCTTCAACATGCACAAAATCAGAAAGCATAAACACTTATTCAGACGATGTAAATAATTTTCAAGGTAAACTTCCTGTGGTATTGACACTTGCTTCTCCTTCTCGTATGCACTTTGGAAAATAAGGGAAATGAAAATATCAGATTGTTACGCCATATTAACACTTCCTTAGGAGGACAATGGACTAATATAATAACCCTTGAATTTTTGCTAAGGTGAAAGAAGAAATAATAGGTGTAATTACAGACCTTAAATATGCAATTTTATTACTTTCAAATATATACAAAACCCAGAAATACTTTAATGATTAATAATGACTTAAAGGAATGTAGGAAAAAAAACAAAAAAACAAACAAACCCCCAAAAACACAATCTAAGTCAGACAAACCATTTTTTCTCATAGTTCAATTATATGACTTGTAAACAAAAACTTTAAAAGTTTTTGGAGAATTCCCTTGCTAAGTCACATTTTCCTTTCATTCTCTTTTATCCTATGGCAAATGATTCCAGTTATCCCTGGAAATGCTAATAGTTATATTGAGAGGTCCAAAAGATTTCATGTTGAAATAAATTTTAGAAATAGTGAGTTAAACAAAATTAACCCCCCTTTTTTAAAAAGTAAATCTTGATGACTTCTCAATCTTTAACATTCACTCATTCATTATGCCTTGGTTGGGGTAAGGGGAGATGAGGGTGCAACATGCAGTGTTTTTCAAACTTATTTCATATAGAATTTTTCTCTCAGGTAATCCTATTGAAATATAAAATGCTGCTCTGTTTGTTTAATCTGCAATTCTACTTACTTTGTACCTCCCAGCTCCCCTGTGTCTTAATAAAGGGTGAAAATTTGGTAAACTGCATCACTATCACTTTCTGATCAGATTCTGAATTATTAAGATTTCCACGCACAAAATAAAACTTTTGATTCTGTAAATATTATTGAAGAAACAGTACCACAACTAGAACCAAAATGCTTTAGCTTACCTAATAGTACATCTCGTTTTCTAATTTTGAGGTATGTGTTAAAATCTGGAAAAGCCAAAAATAACTAAAGTAACTGGACTGGGCATAATGTTTCACTTTTGATACAAGCTTTTCTATTTAAAACTGCCTAATTTAACCAGAGTATGTTTTCTGTCCTACCCTGAATTTATGGCATTTTAAAAATTCAGCTGCATAAGCATAACAATAGATGCCATTTACTGGTATAAGAACAATCCCCCCAGATTTTTGCCTTCTGCAGTATAATAATTTCAATAGCTATACTGAGCACCTACTCTATTGCAGGTGATCCTCACATCACCTTGGGACGGTAGTCATCATGATTGCTATTTCACAGATGAGGAATGTGATGATCGGAGATATTAGCTATCTTGTTTTAGGTCATACAACTAGAGAGAGACAGAGACAGATTTCAAACTTCAGTCTGACACCAAAGACCCTACTGTTTCCACTACATCGCGCTGGTTGGAATGATCCACATGCAATATAAATTTGTTTCTTTATCTTCCAAGCATCAGTGACTCAGACATTCTCCTTTATGTAGAATTTCCGCAATGTGGATTTGCAGTTGGTCTACAATATAGTACTTGTTTGGGGGGAAAAAATACTTGAAGAAGCAAACACTCCCATGTGTGGTAGGGCATTCATTATTGAATAAATAAAATACCTTGGGCATTTTTAAAAATCTCAACAGTTGAAAATACAATTATAACCCCTTACTTTTTAAAATAGCTTGCTGTTTGAAGGATTTCCTTCTCTATTATTTCTGTACTTAACATTTTGCATTAAAAATTATCATGTAGAAAAAACATACAATTGTGCTGTTGGAGAGGCAACAATTGCTGTTACCTGCTGGCGATTTTTGTTTACTATTTGACTCTGGTGGTTTGGTTTTTAAATATAAATTATGGTTCATTATTGCTTTTCTCAAAAATTCTTCATTGTTGTCCAAAACTGTATTGAAACAATAAAAGAAAATAGGTCTTAGAGAAAAAACATAAAGCAAATATTTTATCCATGCCACTGTCCATTCTGAAGAACATAAAGAATAGAAAATTTAAAAAAAAAATTTTCCTTTGTGGGACTAGCACTGTACTAAAAGTGTAAGGGGTGCAGGAAGAGTACTGAGAAATGTTCTTCACTCTTTCACAGTTTACAATTAGTCATATTATTTACTATATAATTCAGTCCCCAAATAAATGATATAGACATTATTCAGTTGCATATCAGAAAATTACAGGGGAGATGTGACTGGCAGTGGTGGAAAGATGTAGTGGAAGAGAAGTTGTGGCTCAGCTGGATCTTGATCATGAAGGTACTGTATAGAAAGGAAAGGAATGAACTGAGAAGTGAGGATAGTCAGCAGCAGCCTGCAGAGATGGGATTGAAGCTGGGAGCAGCAGCTGGGTACGTGCTAGGGCCCTGAATGAAACTGAAGACAGTATTCTTTGTTGTCTGTGGCTTTTGACCAGAACCTTTGAGTGTCTCCTCCCTCACTCGCTCTTTACCTTTTTTCCTACAGGCAGCTAGACTCTGGCCTATTCTGGAGGGCCTATAAACTGTTAGCTGCTTTTTGCTACAGGACCCTTGAAGGCTGAAAAGTCCTTAAAATTCAAAGAAAAGATTAATAGTGAAATTCCAAACCAGTAAGAGTACCACTGTTCTAGCTCCCTTAATATTTCACAGAATACATAAGGCCCAGAATGATATTAAGATGGTTCTGGAAAGTTGGTATGGAATTTGGATATGATTTTATCGATACTGGTACATCATTCAGAAGCTCGTGTCTGATTTTGAATAGGATTTCACAGTCTTCTGCTGAGATTTTTAAAAAATAACAAAAGGGAATGCTCAAACTCATTTGAAAAGTGGTTCTGAACCTTGACATCATTTGTTTCCTTGTAGCATCTTGTTGCACCAAAACCCAAGCACATTTCCCCAGCCGTTCCTTGCACTGTTTTTCTTTCCCTCTCCATGTCTAACTTCCATGTGGAGTTTCCAGATTAAACACTCTTCCTCAATCATTTGCATACCTAACGCAATCACCCTCATCAGCTTTCTCAAGCATGAACGCAGCGCACCCCAAAGCAGGGTCTTTTCCGGTTCTGGCATTTTGATAAGACGAGGCCGAGCTCCCGCCCTGCACCCACCCTCAGCCAGTTCCTGGAGCACAGTTCCCGGGACAGTCAGGCAGCCGCCGCGCGCCCGGCACACACTCGTCCCGACGCGGTGAAAAGGCCCTTTAGCCAGACCTGGCCTTTCCACATTTTTCTGCTCCGGGGTAAAGAAGTTATGAGGAAGAACAAAGTACTAACAAACCAGCAAACAAATCTCGCCG